AAGATTTATATTTAGAAACAAACAATCTTACTGGAATCCCGTAATCTATATTTAGCCATGGCTAAGTTGCATATGGATAGAAATATAAAACAATCCCCTATTCTTTTTAATGAGTAGATTAACAAATTGCACCACTTGTTGGTGTGACTAAACGCCAGAATGTGCAAAATGTGTTGTTTAATTGTCAATATTTGATTTTAAATTAGATCTTTCAAAATTTTGGATATTGAAACGATAATAATAACCTTATCTTTATAACAGAATTAAGGTAAGACCTTACATACGTCATACATCTAATCTTATCTTTTAACAATATCAACAAATATATGAAACTGTTCAAAAAAACATTTGTGTACTTTCTTCCAATGGCAATAAATGAAGCAGAAAATTAAAAATGGCTCCTCTATTATACATCAAGTAAAATTCATAAAAATAGATACAAATTTACAATAAAAAAAGTCAGATATTTTTAATAAAACTATGTATTCGCACATAGTTGGAACCTCATGCGTTAAGTTAATATACATAAAGTATATATTGTATATATAGTAAACGGGTGCTGGATAGTAGTTTTGTTCTTGATGATCAAGGGGGGGGATTATTTTTTATAATTTGACCATTACTGATAAAGCAAATGTGCCGAACGCCTGTGGTCGGAAATCTACCAAACCGTGGAAGTATGCTGCAGGGTTGATAATCATTCCGTGTTTACCTGTATTAAGTACACGTATAAACGTGACATATCTACTCTGTGTGTACTTAAAACTTTCTAATTTTACATTTACATACAGGAACTGAATTTAAGCAAAATTTATCTTTAAAAATATTAAAGAATTTGATACATTGAACGATTTCATTGGACAAAATATAATTAAACCACTTATGGATTAGTCGGGAATTATATAGTCAAACGTATTTCATGGTTATATTTGTAACATTTGTTTGAACCAATCAAAACCGCTTCACCTATTAAACTATTTACCTTTCTATAAATACCAAATATCGGGTATTTATGTGGTAAATTTTGCCATGTGAAAATTTAACCCGTTAGGTATTTAAAGTTTGTTTACTGATGTTTTGATTACGAAATGTTACTGAAAATTGCCGAATCATGCAAATTATGGCGAAATATTAAAGTATTACAGGTTTATCCTAGATATATGACCATTATAGAACATTCGAGTTTTTCTATTAATATTTTTTGTCCTTGTACATAGGTCACTTATTCACAGCTCTATTCACGAAATACACATTAACTATTAATCATGTGACTGAACCATATGGGGAATGTCAATTGCCAAATTCCTCTCTTTCTACAAATATTTCCTGATTTCAAAGTGGCATTTTGTTTATTCAAACTTTGTTTGTGCTTAAAATAACTGGAACAGATCTTAACGCCCAAATTTGAAAGTTGATGAATATATTCCTTAAAATTGTCACGTAGAATATGACCCAGACAAAATAAATTCATTAAACCAACTAAGTTTTGGGCTAGGTATATGTAGACTTAAATTTTTTTATCATTAGTGTCCCCTTATCTGTGTTTTAAGTCTATTCCTTTAGTGTTCGTTACGCTGCATACAAAAAATATTGCAAAAAGAAAAATACAGCGTAAAATGATATTAAGTGCGTTGACACTTCATTTGACATTTTTTACATCTACTTTCTGTTCCGTACTTTCTGTGACTGTATCTATGCTCAAAGTTTTCAATTCTATTCCTTGCATTATTTTCTTTAATGATCCAGACAATGAAATTGAATAGAAATTGGAAAAGAGAGATAATTATAAATCGGACCTGGTAGTGTCACCGTTTTTCAGTTCTCTCTTCTCCTAGTCACCATATATCTATTTGGTTAACAAAGTTAATCTTTAATTAATGTTATAATGGTACCAGAAAGAGATGATTATAGTACAATTTTGGCGCTATACTTTCCCAAGACATCATGTATCAATACTTCAATATTACTAAAATACTAAACTCCAAGAGATCTTTTTAGTTATTATCTGCATAAGAAATACTCCTACATGTATTTACGCGGAGATAAAGTCATTAAAAAAGTAGTTTGTGCTTAAAATCGTTTTTGGCATTAATATGATATAAAAGGAGCGTCTATAACCGTTATCACAACACACCACATATTGTGAAAAGAACGTAATGACACCACCCACGTTGTACTTTTAAACTGTTGTTAGGTCCGCGCCCCAATTTGTTTGAAATAATACACAGTAGGTATATGGAATCTTTGTCAAAATGATTCATATAAAATAAGATAGTTATAAAATAATGTGTTACCATACAATTTGTTATAAAATAATGTGTAAACCAACAGCTTTTTTCAATATTTAATCATTTCCCATTTTAAATTTTTGCGCTCTTTACTGTTGGCTTCATAATTTACTATTTTTTTACATTTTTCTTTAATCATGTTTAATTTGCCAGATTGTTAAATATACAATTTTTATTGCCAAAATGTGGGGTATTTTTGATTATAATAAAAAAAACAATAAAATAAAACACTAATATTTTTTGTTTCAAGTAAATTTGTTTGAAATTTTGCAGTCTGTGTTCTTTCCGTAAGTTTTAAAAAATTTTAAAAATTTCAAATTCAGAAAACAAAACCACAAAACCCCAAATACCTGAGTGATAGATACATGATCTGATTTTCCATATCTATATATAGCACATAATAAAGTATTCTAGAACGAAATATTACTTTTATTATATACACGTGTATGTTCATGATAAATCACGTTAGAACTATATTAACATTTTGTTTTCCAGAAATATTTTATTACAGTATCAAAACGGTACATATATATTATTTTTTGGCAATATTTGAATTGCACTTACTTACGAAAAATGTTTTAGTGACATCATGTATATGCCAAATAGGTCATAATGCAGTACAAAGTACATGTGTTGCTACATTGTAACGCTTATGAGACAATAAGAATTTTATGAATATGTCAAACAATAATAAATTGATCTTTTTTATTGTAAAAATCAATGACATCTTACATTGCCACATCATGTGTTGGCACCTCAAATGAACGACAGAGGCATTTGTAATCGTATGCTTAAATGATGTTTAAAACAGTGATATAAAAGTATTTGAATTATTGAAGCTAAAACCTTAGTCAAACTATTATTTTATACTTTTAAACATACATGCTAAGTACAGTACTTTATGCATGACCTGAAATTAATTGGTATCTTTCAAAAAATTATAGTAACTTATGTGGGGGGCTTTTTTTTGAAGCATATGGTCTACACTCAATTACATATTGCCTGTTTTATATAATGTATCAATATGTATGATGTTATGTATTTTATAGGTATACTTTTACTGTCTGTGTAAACAACAACATTAATACTCTTAAAACTACACATATATATACTGACAACTTTATAAAACTCACCTTTAATGTAAAAGCTTTAAATATAAATTTAATACTTACATTGTTCCTGGCTCTGTAATATGGAGTCTAAATTTAATAAGAATCTTCTAAACTAGACATTAGTGTTATTGTTTAATGCTGGTAGTATTCATTTCTCAGTTAGATTCATAGAGCAAAGTCAAGGTTTCTCTGTAATTTCATCGAGTGGTATGAAAATTGCTATTTCATGAGTGGCGGTAGCCACGAGTGAAATAAAATAATTGTCGTACCTCAAAATGAAAATAAGTCCTGTATTTAAAAAAAATACTTGAATTTTCTGTTTATTATATACGTTTTGATTTTATTTGAAGGCTTTCCCTTCAACTTTGAGTATTGGTTGACTTTAGAAGAAGTTAGTCCATTGAAAATACAGAAAGAAATGTTTTACTGCAGTGAAAAGCAAACTGGACAGTGAAAATGAAAATACGCGTTTTATTTCATCAATATTTCCCAATATTTCATTAATAAGTATATAATAAATTTAACATTTAGATTTTATCTAACGTTGATCTAGATATAATGATATTCTAAATTTTAGTTATACATAGACGACCTTTATCTGTGTGTATTTACTGATGTTCTTAATTAGGTGTTTAATTATTTTGTATTATTTGAATTTCGCCGTAAAAATGATTACACATAAAAACAATAATTAAAATTATTCATATTGAACAAACTAATGTGATTGGTCGAGTAGAATTAATTGTATATTAATCATTTATCGTAAGCCCGTTATAGACTCATCCTCGTTACAACATTCAATAATATATTAAGATGGTATGACATTGTTTGTAACAATAATAGCGCATTTGTAAACTTATTGAAGAAAGGCATGTTTTAATATTACAGTACCTTCAACAACATAAGAGTTTATAGAAGCCGGAGAACAAATGCCAAGTATATTATTTAATGTTATAAAGAAAGTTTATTTGGTTTTTCTCAATCATCCAGATTTATTGGTTTTCAGTTCAAACCATATTTGATTGCTTCAAGTACAAGTACTTATATGTGCAACGACGAAAATAAAATAAGATAGATAACATCTAGTTAACTCCATTTTTCTAAGGGTTATTGGTTGCAATACTTTAACTGTAGAACACGGAGAAATTATTTATCATACAACCTAACATTTTTAAGGCGTGTACTATGTGATTTTATACCAATACTTCCTTCTCATTAATTCCGAAATTGTTTTATTTTAAGAATTTTAGTATCGCTCTTGGGATGGTCAGATATTGTACTACAAATATATGATATCTCGCAAATAAAAACAGCAATCGTTGTTTTATAAGTTTATTGTATAAAATGAGCTGATGATTTTAAACAAACAACAATTATCATCAGTAACAATATCTTGATGTATTAAAGATAAAAAACAAAACAAACTGGCTTCGGATTTGGAGATTAAATCATCACATTGTATATAAACCTCTAAATATATCTAACAATTATATAATCAAAATATTTGACGAACACATGATGGCACTAGGAAACAAGTTAGTGACAAATTCAACATCTATAATTTTAACAAAAAAACTTATGATATCAGATTTTGTTCATGGCAATAAATCATAGGAAAAAATATTTTTGTATTATTAAAGTCTTATTAACATAGTGTACTAACGCTAAGTATGTTTTTGGAAATAATGTGTAAAATACTTTATTGCTGAAATGTCAGAAGTATTAAATAATAAACATGAATTAGATAGGGAAAGACACTTGTGTTAATTTTATTTAATGAATATGGACAAACTGAAAAATAATTGTTAAAATGAATATGATTAACATGTATCCACTGTATAAACAAAAGAGTAACACTTTATTATGGTTCGATCATTCAAATGAAAACATATGTTATAATTAAAAATGCATGAATGAAAACCATCTATTGTACGTTTGATATCACAATATATTGCCCTATAACAAAAATTATCCTATACAAATGGTGCAAAATAATAACATACTAAACAAGCTTAACAAAGACTATTACAAACATAAAAATATATGGAGTTTCCAAGAAGAGAATCATAATTATGGTTAAGCAAGTTGGCAATAATGACAAACTTTATGAAATGTATAATATATATATACATTGAAAATTAATAATGGTAAAAACCTATCAATTCGTTACATGTAAAAGTTAATTGAGCACTTTTCTGTGGATGATTATTATAAAACATTTGTATTTATAACAACTATGAGGTATTTAGAGTATCACTAACATATAATAAGTACACGACTAGGATTTATATAAATATATTCCAACTTCAGTTTTACTGTTTGTTGAATCATAATTATAAGTATGAACATTTTTGTCTAAAATCCTTCCCTGATTGAAATAAATGTCAGATATTAAATAATTTCTTTTCCTGAATCGGAACAGCAAATGTGAATGTAAAAGGACTTGCAGTCTTTTATGATACCGTTTAATCAGAGTCTGTTAAATCTTCTCCATATCCTGCCCCTGCAGCAGCAAGGATCAGGCAAATGTCTTCATGACCTCGAATACGTGCAAGGTCAAATGGCGTGCTCCCATCAAAGGTCCTTGCATTTATATTACAGGAACGATGCCTTAACAGTAATTTGACAATATTTAAATCACCAGTAAGGCAAGCATTGTGTAATATTGTCCGACCTGTTTTTCCTTCCTTGAGGTTAACGTCTATGTCTTTGTCCAGTAACATACTAACAATGTCTAAATGTCCATTTGATGCAGCTAAATGTAGGCAAGTTAATCCCTCATAGTTCTTTATGGATAAATCCTGTGGAATTGTTTGGTACGGTATATCATAAGAATTATGTTTGATTTCATGATATCTGACAGGCTCAAGAAGATTTTGCACATTTTTGTGTTGTCCTTGGCGACACGCAATGTGCAAAGCTGTATTACCGTCCTTATCGCGTTTATCTACTTCAGCACCAGCAACAATTAATCTTCTAGTGACTTCTGGCTGATCGGTTAATACGGAAAGGTGTAGAGGTGTTTGAAATAAAACATTTGTAAAAGACAACCAGGTGTTTGATGGTGCTTTACCAATAAATATCATGGCTAATTTATCATCACGTAATATAATGGCTATATGTAAGAGGGTATCTCCATCTTTATCCCTTAAATATATTCTAGAAGCGTCAATGTTTGCTGCCATATGGCCTCCATGATTTCCTTCAAATGATTCTAGCTCGTTGAAACGTTTCACTGAACAATCATCAATCATTTCTACAGAATCAAGTTGTTCACATAAATCGTTGATATTTTTTTGGCTTTCCCTGTAACTCATCTTTTTATTTACTTCTGAAAACACTGATGCAATGTCAGGATATTGCTTTGTACCGTAATCAGTGGTTTCTGTCATAACACATCTACCGTGATCAGAGATATGATTAACCTGATTAAAACTATCCATGTTCATTGTACAGTGAACAACGTCTGGTAAAAACCGATTTTGTGGAATAACATGTATGCTGGCGTCACTATATGTGATGTTAGGAACTTCGTCTTCGTTCATCATAGTCATGTTGACTCTCTGAAACAATTAAGACAACATTAAAACATAAATTTAAATTGATTATATTTCTAATATCACACAGAAAAGTAATCGAAATGTATATAAGCTAATACTTGTTCTTCTATCTATACTGCTATTAGAGATAAACATATAGTATAATCCTAGTAACCTTTTTTACCATTTGAGAAAATTAATCGATATTTAAATGAACGAAATTACATTATAGTAATATGATATTATAATATACACATGCTACGAATGCGATTGATACGTACACAGTCGCGTGATAACGACATTGTTCATTATTTGATAAGAATAAAACAATTTTAAAATGTTGTTTTTATTGTCATTTGTTATATCACATGTTTGTAGGAATGAGATATTTATAAACAAGGAAATATGTTCACATGAAATAACATGATAACCAATTACCAATATCGATTTCAAAACTGAACATTACTCACACACATACTGGTTAACTAGGTATACTACTATTCACTTTGATAACACAAACGTTACAAAAAATAATAAGTGGTTCAAATTTTATTTTGTCCAATGATGTCACTCCATTTTTAATCAATTATATTGGGACCAATTTGTTATTAATTATATTAGGTCTCATACTTGTACTAACATAATTTGCTAACCACTAAATGGGGTTGCACCGTTCTAGACAAATTTGTTTCAATACTCCCGACTTACAAGCACTATACCAAAAAATGATGAAATATACAAACGCATTCATTACAAATCACGATATTCATTAAGGCCTAAATTTCTACTATTTATTCATTTTAGATAAAATAATATACGTGTGTATATTGAAAAATATTAATGAAAATTTTATTACCTTCTAAATAAAAGTCATTATTATTGTTAAGATAAAAGTTAGAAATAAATTTGAAAGCCTTTTACCTCTAACATCTAATCACACGTGTTACATATTAACGTGGATAACCATGAACCATGTTTCTCGTGCATTACCATGAACCCCAATTTTCGTGCATGATCATAAATCCGAATTCTCATGCATTACCATTGACCTCAATTTTCATGGATTACCATGAATCCCAATTCTAGTGCATTACTATGAGCCCCAATATCCCGTGCATTACCATGAACCCCTCTTAATGCTAATTACATCGCACCACCACGACCACTATTACCACCTTAAACTGCAACAAAACCAACACCACGACTACAATCATCACCACCACCACCACCACCACCATTGCCAACAACAACAACAACACTCATAAAAACATAAATATTTAAAACAAAAACTCTTAAATGATTGTTATGGTTTCGGTTTCAATATAAATGTGTCACCAACTTTTGCATATCATAACGTTAGACTTTAATCAGATAGATAAAGATCATTACCTTTACTTTCAATATAACCTTTTATCATATGTTTAACAAAATCCAAGGTTATACGTAGTTTTTAAAAAGACACACGAATGTCAAACTATTTAAAAGAATATTTATGGAATTACCAATACTGTTGTTAATTAATGATAAGGTAGAAACGAAAAAAAAAATCAAATCCACGAGATTTTAAGTTGCGGGATCCCCGACAGCAGTCACAATCAAGTAATTCATACAACTATACCGACCTTTTTTGAAAATAGCACACCCTGACTGAGTTCAATTAGTTAAGCTTACATTTTTGACATATTAACTAATAATTGTTTTTATCAAAATTTCAAAAATAATTTACATTCAATTTGTTAGTTTTTGTTGCGAAATAATGTCTTAAAAATTGAACTATTTCAAATATTGATGCAACGGCGGATTTAAATGTGTTAATAATTCTGATAAATGTATGTTAGCTTTTATATAAAAAAATGATTAAGTTAAGATCATTGTTAATGATCGATGATGTTTTCATTGGCATCAGAATGATTCATTTCCATTCTGTAATTTAAATTATGATTTAATTTATGATTGATTTAATGACCAATTTTCTTTGAATTCATTGTTGTTTATATACGATATTGCAATAAAATAATTTCTTAAAGACGAACCGACCTATTGTTATGTTTTATTTTCAAAACGGAAAATTTTACATCATAGTTTGTTTTGCATGCAATTGTCTATAAATATAGCGTGATTATCTCGGTTAAAAATCTTATCTAAAATAATAAAAAAATTTTCTCATACGAAAGACACAAAACCTAGTTATTCTTTTTTTCTTACTTTTAAACATGCTAAGTAAAGTATATTATGTATGACCTGAAAGTAATGTTTAATTTTATAGTAGTTTATGTGAGTGCTTAATTTGTTATATATGATATTATGTATCTAAATGTCTAATTTTATTGTCTATGCCAATAAAGAATACTCTTACGCTCTTAAAGACTTAATAACCTCACTTTTAAAATTTGAAATTTAGTTCTTCTCAGGCTCTGTAGTGTGGACTCTAAATTTCGAAAATCTATTAAGCTACAAATTAGTGACATTGTTTATTCTGGTAGATCTTATCTTGATAATTAAGCTTGCCATGACAAAACCAGCATTGCGTCCAGCATGGATCAAGATAATTCCGCGTATCCGCACAGTCTGATCATGATCCATAATGTTCGCTATCAGTTTCATTTCTTGCTATAGGGTTTGTATGCAAACAGCAATGATCCTGATTAGACTGCGCAGGCAGGTCTGAATCCATGCTGGTCGCAAATGTACTACATTTTGTATGTTGATTTTGTCATGGAGCGGCTCATATACTGGTATTATGAATTTTAGCTACTCATAAATGAGTTGGATCTGTGTGTATATTAAAAAAATGAATTACATATGTGTGTTTGTCTTAGTGGACTTTAAAGTTTCAGTAAATATTAAGAGGGAAGCAAATACTAAATAGTCCTTACGAAAACTTGCAACATAATTCAATGGTGGCAATAGGTCTTAAAAAGATTTAAAGATGTAATGTACATTTTGTCTTGTAAATGTGTATATTATATATATAGATGTAAATGTTATGTTAATATGTATATTATAGGTAAAGATTTAAATGCAATGCAAAAATGTATATAATAGGTAAAGATTAAAATGTAATTATAATGTGCATGTTTAGGGTTTAATTCATAGATAAAAGGATTTTAATGTGATGCTCTATGTGTATATGATAGGTAAATACTTAAATGTGATGATAGTGTGTAAATTATAGGTAAATATTTACATGTAATCATAATCTGTATACTTTAGGGTTTATTCCATAGGTAAAATGTTTAAATGTTATGCTAATGTGTATATTTTAGGCTTTTAATCCATAGATAAAAGGTCCTAGGGTAATGATTATGTGTATATTATAGGCAAAAGATTGAAATGTAATGATAATGAGAATATCTTAGGTAAACGATTTAAACCACATCATTTTTATTAGTCTATCATAATTCTTATACAGAATGGCGCCATGCATTATATTGTACGATATATGTTGTGAATGTGATGCTGTACTTATTGATGAGACTATAACAAAATATAAAGAATACAAGTATTTACTTATGTTGTGAAGTGTTTAATTTTGTTGTAGTATTTGAATTTCGCCGTAAAAATGATAACACATCATAACAATGGATGAAATTATTCATATAGAACAAACTGATGTGATTGGTCGAGTAGAAATAATTGTATATGTATCATTTTATCGTAAACTCGTTATACACTCATCCTCGTTACAATATTGAATAATGTAATAAGATGTTATAACATTGTTTGTAACAATAATAGTGCATTTGGAAGCAAATTGAAGAAAGGCATTTTTAATATAACAGTACCCTCATTAAATATTATAAAGCCGGAGAACAAATGCAAAGTATATTATTGAATTAAATAAGGAAAATTTAATTAAGTATATCTGAATCTTCTAGATTTATTAGTTTTCTGTTCAAAATTATTTGATTGCTTCAAATACAAGTAAACACTTATATATACAACGATGGACATACTATAAATAGAACACATTTAGTTAACTCCATTTTAATAAGAACTATTTGTTGCAATACTTAAGATGTAGAACACTGAATTATGATTTGGCTGATGAACTATCATCATACAACTGAACATTTTATAGGCGTATACTATGCGATTTTATACCAATACTTCATTCTTTTTTTAGTTCTGAGAACCTTTTGTTTTAAGAATTTTATTATCATTCTAGGGGTGGTCAGATATTGTACTACAGGGTATGTGTTTTCTCGCAAATAAAAAAGACAGCAATTGTTGTTATATAAATGTATTGTATAAAATGAGCTGACGATTTTTTTTAACAAACAACAATCATCATCAGTAACAATATATTGAAAATAAACGTAAAGAAATTAAATCGTCACATAGTAAATATGTTAAAGACAGACAATATAAGATAATGTATAAACCTCTAAATACATCTTACATTTATATAATGAAAATATTTGATGAACACATGATGGCACTAGAAAACAAGTTAGTAACAAATTCAACATCCATAATTTTAACATAAATTTTATATCAAATTTTGTTCATGGCAATAAATCATAGCAGAAATGTAACGTCATATTCTAACACGACCCGCATTTTTCCCTATTGAACATAGAAGAACCGATAGTGTGGGTTATTATGCAACAAAATCACAGTTTGACGTTCTATATTAAGACATATGACGTAATCATTATACACGTGACGTAATCAATAAAAAATCCGACGCGCTGAAAATAAGTAAGGAAACAAATCAGACGCAATTTATTTTTATATTAGGTACGCCAGCATTTATTTGTTGATGTCGTGTTAGAATCGAAATAATATATCCAAATCGGTGATTTTATCGCTTGATAACATCACTGTTTGTCGTTCGGGTACACATCATTGTATCAATCGGCCTACGCCCTCGTGATATAATTCCTCGCATCCGAACTCCCAACAGTGATGTTATTGAGCGATAAAATCACTGTTTGAGATATATTATTTCTTAATTAACATAGTGTACTAACACTAAGTATTTTATTGGATTTGATGTGCAAGTTTTAAAATACTTTGTTGCTGAAATGGTAGAAGTATTAAATAATAAACTTTAATAAGATAGGGAAAGACATTGGTGTGAATTTTATTAAATGGATATCGACAAACCGAAATATAACTGTTAAAATGAATATAACTAAAATATATACATGTACACTGTATATACAAAAGAGTAGCACTTTATTATTGTTTAATCATTCAAATGAAAACATATCTTATAATTATAAATGCATCAATGCAAACCATTTATTGAACGTTTGATATCACAACATATTGCCCTATAATAAAAAATGTCCTACACAAATAAAATAGTGCAAAATAATAACATACTAAACAAAATTAAAAAAGACTATTATCAACATAAAAATGTACGGAGTTTCCAAGAAGAGTATAATAATTATAGTTAAGCAGATTGGCAATAATGACAACACTTTATGAAATGTATTTTATATATACTTAAAATGTAGATAAATTAGTAGAATACTTTCATCTCGTGACATGTTAAAGTTAATTGAGCAGTTTTCTGTTGATAATATAATACATTTGTATTTAACATCTATGAGGTATTTAGAGTATCACTAACATATAATGAGTAAACGACTGGGATTTATATAAATATATTCCAACTTCAGTTTTACTGTTTGTTGAATCATAACTATAAGTATGTTGTTATCTAAATCCTTCCCTGATTGAGATAAATGTCAGATATTAAATAAACTTATTTCCCTGAATCGGAACAGCACACTTAAATCAGAAAGTGTGAATGTAAAAGGACTTGCAGTCTTTTATATTACCGTTTAATCAGAGTCTGTTAAATCTTCTCCATATCCTGCCCCAGCAGCAGCAAGGACCAGGCAAATGTCTTCATGACCTCGAATACGTGCAAGGTCAAATGGCGTGCTCTCATCAAAGGCCCTTGCATTTATATTACAGGAACGATGCCTTAACAGTAATTTGACTAGATTTAAATCACCTGTAAGGCAAGCATTGTGTAGTATTGTCCGACCTGTTTTTCCTTCTTTGAGGTTAACGTCTATGTCTTTGTCCAGTAACATACTGACAATATCTAAATGTCCGTTTGATGCAGCTAAATGAAGGCAAGTAAATCCCTCATAGTTCTTTATTGATACATCCTGTGGAATGGTTTGGTACGGTATATCATAAGGATTCTGTTTGATTTCATGATATCTGACAGGCTCAAGAAGATTTTGCACATTTTTGTATTGTCCTTGGCGACACGCAATGTGCAAAGCTGTATTTCCGTCCTTATCGCGTTTATCTACTTCAGCACCAGCAACAATTAATCTTCTAGTGACTTCTGGCTGATCGGTTAATACGGAAAGGTGTAGAGGTGTTTGAAATAAAACATTTGTAAAAGACAGCCAGGTGTTTGATGGTGCTTTACCAATAAACATCATGGCTAATGTCACCTCACGTAATATAATGGCTGTGTGTAAGAGAGTATCTCCATCTTTATCCCTTAAATATATTCTAGAAGCGTCAATGTTTGCTGCCATATGGCCTCCATGATTTCCTTCAAATAATTGTAGATCGTTGAAAATTTCGTTTGAACGATCCAGCATTTCTACAGAATCAAGTTGTTCACATAAATTGTTGATATCTCCTTGGCTTTCCCTATAACTCATCTTTTTATTTACTCCTGAAAACACTGATGCAGTGACAAGATGTTGCTCTGCACCGTAACCAGTGGTTTCTGTCATTACGCATCTACCGTGATCAGAGAAGTAATTAATCTGATTAAAACTGTCCATGGTGTTCATTGTACTGTGAACAACGTCTGGTAAAAACCGATTTTGTTGAACAAAATGTGTGTTGGCGTCACTATTTGTGCTGTTAGGAACTTCGTCTTCGTTCATCATAGTCATGTTGACTGTCTGAAGCAATTAAGACATTAAGACAACATTAAAACATTTGTTTTAAAGTGATTATATTTCTAAAATCATACAGATGAGCTGATATGTAACTAAGGCCATATTTGTTCTTCTATCTGTCCGGCTATAACAGATAAACATATAGTATCATCCTTCTTATATTTTGTTCTATTTCAGAAAATGTATGGATATTCAAATGAACGAATTACATAATAGTTATATGATTTAATAATTATAATACACACGTGCTATGAATGTTACGGTTACATGCAACGTCACGTGATAACGACAGTATTCATTACTTAATGATAATAACATAATATTTTTAATATTTTTTTTCTTCTGCCATTTGTGAAATCACATGTATGTAGTGAATTGGATATTTATAGGACGGAAATATTTATTAAATGTACACATTATTTCAAATTACCAACTAAACATTAGCTACACACACGCTAGTTAATAGGTACGCTACTGTTCACTGTGATTACACTTATGTAAAGACGATTCTTTACTTAAAAACTTACAAATTTGTTTGAAAGCATTTAATACAAATTATCAGATTTTGATATAACTATATATATATATATATATAGTTATATATATATTGAAAAGTAGGAATTTACAATATTTTAACTATCTTAATAAAAGTCATAATGGCTCATGTCAAAACATGTTGAAATAAATTTAAATGCATTTACCTTTAGCATGTAACCACACTTAATGTTTCATTATTATATGTATTTAGTGTATTTATACTCGCTACGTTTCTCCATTATCTAGGACACACTATTTATATCTTTCGATGACTCACCGTTTATGTTATAAATATTTTGACTAAAAATCACGTGTTTTTAATATATTTGTTTAAGTGTTTTATTGAAGCAATACGTGTAAACATATTACAATTAAGTATGCTAAATTTATTGAACATAGAATACATGTTTATTATTTTTTATGGCTAAGGTATAAATTCAGTTTTACATTTTTCTTTTTTATGAAAAAGCGTTTATAATAAGGTAGGTAACAAAATATTTAATTATGATATTAGTTTATAGATATATTACATGTACATACGTTTTAAAATTGTTTTATACTGCAAATGCTTGCTCAATACCGTCTGCTGCTACACTGTTATAAATATTTATTTAATATAGCATTGGAGTCTATTTTAAGATTCGATAATGGAAAGTCCAGAATCGCATATATGCTTAATTTTCAATAAAAATTACGAATTATTAAGTTACAAACAAAAAACTGCAATCACATTTCTTTATTTTGTTATTGGTCAATTGTGTCATTTCGGAATTTTGTCCTTCACGTTCAAATATAGATGTACTATAATATTTATGTTTTATGTATTACATATTTGTGTACGTAAGTTATATTTATCGCCGTTATTTTTAGCAATTTTACCTCATTGTGCAAGTTGACTTATACAATATGTAAAACCACTTTGCAATCCGTTGCCAACACCTGTTTGCACAATTCATACAATTTGTTTGAACATTTTATTTTATATCTAAAATATTGAAACAAATAGATCATAAACGTTACGAAATTTAATGTCTGATTTTTTTAGTAATATGTCCATATGACTTATCAGTATGACTTCCTGTAAATTAACAGAGAAGAACTGTTTTCATTAATCATTGGCTATTCTAGAATGAAATGTAAAGGATAGTTCTAACCATTCTATAATTAAATATAAAGGATAGTTCATACTATTGTAAGATACACTTTTAAGGATAGCTCTAAAATGAAATGTAAGGGATAGTTTCTGCCATTTTATATAATTAGATGTAAAGGATAGTTCTAACATAAAATGTACAGTAATAAGGATAGTTCGATAACTTGCAGGTTAATTTGTAAACGACTACAACATTTATTAACTCAATGCTGCGAACGACTTTTATTGATTTCTTTTGATTTATTGATTTTTTTTTAAATATAAAATAGACAAATCTAACATCATAAGGCTGAATTAACCTTATGTACCGTTACAGTAAAACAAAAAAGTTTTTTTTCTAATTTCATACGCACACGTCAAATATATAACTAAAATAAATTAAACGAGGCATTCCTTACCAGCATATTTCAATGTGCAGTTTTTTAAACTACATGTTTCGTAAACCAGCACGCCTCCAGATTCATGCTAATTTTCATGAAAATTTGAAAATGTATTTAACAGTATAATATTGTGAAGTTACTAAAACAGTTTAATTTACACATTATCAATTACACCTTCAACCCACGTTAATTACCATAAAGAGGTCAAAATATGAAAAAAAGCCCTTACTACGTTTGTAACGCAGCAGAAATGTATTTATAAATACTGAAAAATCGGTCATTAATCTTTACATGTAAATTATTACTAGAATTTTGAATCTGTATACTTTTCCTAAAAACATTTTACTCGAGTTTGATTTTATCGAAATATTTTTACTCATCTGGAGACGTGCAGCTTAAATGTGAATTGTTAAAACTTTTTTTTAAATGCTTCAATATTGCTTTGGTATTTATAATTATGAGGAAAAAAAGTCCCTTGATATATATAAACAGAAATAAACAGTGATATTATATTTAAATTTCTTCCGGGGAAAATTTAACCAGGTCGTGATTTAAACGTGTTTATAAATACTAATATATCGTAACACTTGATATAATATTATATCTTTTGTAACAATTATAGGATGAAAAAAAATAATGTTAAATGCAGTACTGGGACTGGCTGTTAAATTATCTGCAATTATAAAACCATGTTTAAGTCATCAAAATTAAATTAAATGCCCTTACTTTAGATAAAATAAAATATAACGGATATTTGTACATGTATAGTATCGAAACAAACTTAGTTTCTTTGAAGAGATAAAATCAGGGCATATCTGAATAATTTTATTTCACTTCCTTCAGTTCAATCATAAGTTAACACTGCTCAAAGGTTTGTCAGTCTGACGCACATATTTGCTTACTTGTCATAGCGTATGTTAAAGTAATATATAGTTGTGACTGACTTCCGATCAGTCAACAATATAAAAGGTAATGTACAAACTTTAAACATATCATTGTTCGTAGATTTGACTGACTGCGGCGTTCATTCATCTTCATTCTGAGTTTCTTCTCTATTATATTTATTTCAGCGATAATTATACGTTTTCTTAGAATTTTTACTTTCTTTAGACTGAAATTGTATATTCGGTTACGATAACTTGTATGATTTACCAATTTTCATCAATGGATGAACTTGTTACTTCTCTATTTTACCAGAATATATAAAGCTTAAATAGACTGATTAATAGCGGATAAAATACATCATATCTTATTTATTTCAGACATTTCGTAATTACCAAAAAATATCTATATAATTAATTCATTTAATCTTACCTCACGCATTGGTAAGCCTCTGTTCATGTTTACTCTGATAAATTTGTGTATTACTATAATTTGTATGCATTTCGGTCAGATTATATATAGGTATATAGTTGCGTAGGTGAGCTGATTTCAAGAATCTTTGTTTACAGATACATTTCACCCACTAGATTTCTTTCTTTCTTTCTTTCTTTAGAGTACTTAACCAACCAAATAACCTCCCGTAAAAAAAGAATTTAAGGAAATTTTCTGAGTAGCTATATATGTTACAATTTGTTGCGGTAACTCAATACAAAACCAAGTGAGTAGGAGGATATGAATTAGTGTCACAGTTGTAACTGAGAATCTAGTATTGCATAGTTCATAACCCTTGAACCCGTCTTCCCATGCAATATATTGTACCTTATTTCTTGTGTGTCCTGAACCTATCACACTTGCATAACCATTGACCCTTTTAAAAGCATATTACATCGGATCTTATTTCTCGTGCATTACATCGGCCCCAATTTTTCCTGCAATACTGTGAACCCTAATTCTCGTGCATTACCATGAACCCCAATTTTCGTGAATTACTATTGACCATAATTCTCGTGATTGCTATGAACCCCAATTTTCGTGCATTACCATGAATCATAACTCTCGTGGATTACAATGAACCCAAATTATCGTGGATTACCATTAACCCCAATTATCGTGGATTGCCATTAACTATTATTCTCTTGGTTTACTATGAACCTTAATTCTCAGGGATTACCATAAACCCCACCACCAGGACCACGACGAATTCCACCACAATCACCACCAACAGCAACAACAAAACCCACAACAATAATATTACAAACACACCAAAATGATTGTTATGATATCTGTTTCAATATTAAACTGTCACCACTTTTTGCATATCATAACGTTAGGCTTAAATAGAGAGATAAAAAATATCATTACCTTAACTTTCCATTAAACCTTTTATCTTATGTTAAATAGAATCCAGGATTTTTAACAAGACACATGAATGTCGAACTCTTTTTATAATAGCAGAAGGATTATGGAATTACCAATACTGTTTGAAATTAGTGACTAGGTAGATACGAGAAAAATATGAGATTTTTGATTGCGGAATCCCTGATAGCAGTCATAATCAAGTAATTCATAGAACTATACCAACCATTTCTTTTTTGAAAATAGCACACCTTGACTGAGTTCAATAAGTTAAGCTAACCTTTCCAGTTTCGTTTTGACATGCTTCCCAAGCAAATATTTATATAAAGATTTCAAAAATAATTAACATTGTTTATTTTGTTCCGTAATAATGTCTGAGAAATTGAACTATTTAGAAATATTGATGCAACGGCGGATTTAAATAGAAATATGTAACTAATTCCGATTATTGTATGTTAGCGTTTGAAAAATTAATCTTTAGTTTAAAAATGATAGTAAAGATCATCGTTTATATCACTGACATTTTCAATGACAGAATAATTTATTTCAATTGTGTTATTTGAATTGTGATTTAATTTTTGATTAATGACCAATTTTCTTTGAAATTATTGTTATTGAAACACAATTTTGCAATAAAGACAAACCCGTTTATTGTTATGTTTAATTTCAATGCATAAGCTGGAAAAAATCTTCCCTGCATTTGTTAAAAAAGTGAAATAAACGAAACAAATGTAAATACAATACCCAATCAGGTTTGATTTCCGGTTGGATTACTATCAAACTCTAAGCTTTTGTGGATTGAATTATTTTTAATTTTGTGGGTTTTCTAAGTGATATATTGTCTCGGAACTTATCTTCCTCTATGTTAAACCTGCTTAAAATTGTGTTTTGAGTACCGAAGTCAATGAAGCGTAGTTATGTCGCTTAAAAATTATAACTTTCCTTCTCTTTTATGAATCAACGATTGACAATATTATATTTGAATGAGACTACTGTTAATTATATTTTTCAGCACAAAATCCTACCAGATTTATTACTTATTCTTCAACCATACCATGCTGCTATATCAACATTTGTGCCGCTACAGACCTTAAAGTACAGTATTTGTTGCTCAAACAGCCATTGGTTTGGACAATAAGTGACATTAAACAATCATTGTGGGAGGAGCAAAGATATAAAACAATCATTTTTGGAAGAGCAGTGATATAAAACAATCATTGTGGGAGGAGCCTTGATATAAAACAATCATTGTAGGAGCCGTGATATAAAACAATTATTTTAGGAGGAACAGTGAAATAAACAATCATTGTGGGTGGAGCAGGGATATAAAACAATCATTGTAGGAGGAGCAGTGATATAAAACAATCATTGTAGGAGGAGCAGTGATATAAAACAATCACTGTGGTAGGAGCAGTGATATAAAACAATCATTGTAGGAGAACCAGTGACATAAAACAATCATTGTAGGAGGAGCAGTGATATAAAACAATCACTGTGGTAGGAGCGGTGATATAAAACAATCATTGTAGGAGGAGCAGTGATATAGAACAATCATTTTGGGAGGAGCAGTGATATAAAACAATCACTGTGGGTGGAGCAGGGATATAAAACAATCATTGTGGGAGGACCAGTGACATAAAATAATCATTATGTGAGAAGCAGTGATAT